TACATTTGTATGTAAACGATTATAATTTCGTTTAATTGCTTATAGCAGGGATGGGCAACTCAAAGTAACTAGCGGGCCACTTTTAAATACTTTAAAATCTAGCGGGCCGCAGTGCATAGGAGAAAGCAAAAAAAAATTAAAATTTTATTTTTTATTTTTATTTATTTATATTTACAATTAATATTTAATGTGATACTTGAGGATGAGGTTTTTCAATAGACAATTTAGTAAAATCCACTTCTATTTCTGTAGTTGAAACTCTTAGTAAATGTCCCAAGGTTTCATCTGTTAAACGATTTCTTTCCTTCGATTTAATATGTTTCAAGTTCGAAAATGTACATTCGCATATGTATGTGGTTCCAAACATAGATAACATTTTTAATGCGAAATCTCTTAGAATTGGATATTTTTCAACTGGTAATGTTTTCCAAAATGACACATTAATCTCTTTTGCAGATAAAAATGGATCTGTTTGTAACTCACATAATTCTAATTGAAGTGAAGGATCTTGCTTTTCAATTTCAACTGCCATAGGATTATTAAATAAATTTATTTGAGGACGCATAAGTTCAATTTCTTCAAATCGTCTTTTGAACTCTACAATTAATTCATCAATGTGGGTAATGCAATGTTCAAAATTAAATTCATTATCAAATTCTTGTTTTATAACTTCACAACACGGAAAATGTATTAATTTATTTTCAACAAATACATTTTTAAACAGTTCCAATTTTTTTCTGAATCCATCTAAAAAGCCTATTATTTGAGATATTGTTTGTTTTCTACCTTGTAGTTGTAAATTTAGTTTATTTAAATGTTGAGAAATATCCGTTAAAAATGCTAATGAACATAGAAATTGTTTATCAACTAATTGATTTTCAAAATAAGTGGTATCAGTTGTAATATTTGTTTTAAGAAAATTTAATATTTCTTTTCTCAAATCAAAAAAACGTTCGAGACACTTTCCTCGACTTAACCAGCGTACATCTGTGTGCAATAATAAATCACCATATTCACAATCAAGTTCTTCTAAATATTTAATAAAATTACGGTGGTTCAAACTACGGTTGCCTCCTCTAATTAGATTAGTAATTTTAAATACTGTATTCATAATGTTATCAAGTTTCATTATTTTACCACACAACGCTTCTTGATGAATAATGCAATGTATTGCAGGAACATTAATATCAGATTTGCGCAATAATCCAATAAAACCAATATTTTTGCCAACCATAGATTTTGCACCATCAGTCACAACCGATGACATTTTTTTGAAACCTCCAAATGGTTCAATTGCATTTTTTACAGCATTAAAAATATCAATTCCTTTGGTTGATCCATGCAAGGAACACAATTCTAAAAGTTCTTCATACATTTCAAATTGTGGAGAAATAACTCTAACAAATATTAAAAGTTGACTAACATCTGAAACATCAGTACTTTCGTCTAATGCTATTGAAAAATATGCGCAATTCATCATTATAGTTTGCAATGTTTCACGAATAACACTATCAGTGCCAGCTATACGACGTGTCACGGTACGTCTTGAAAGTGATATTTTTTCAAATTCACTCGCAATTCTATTTTCGTTTATTGATTTAGCCATTTTTATTGCACAGTTTTTAATAAATTCACCGTCACTTAGAGATTTTTTAGATTTTGCAATTTCATTAGAAATAACGTATGATGCCATTAAACTTAATTGTTGTGAAGTTGTTGCTTTTACCATCACATTTTGTTGGGTTTGGAGTTTTCTTTTCAGATCAATTACAACATTCTCTCTTGCGACACCGGTGTATTTATCATATTTGGACGAATGATTTGTCATGTAATGTCTTTTCAAATTATATTCTTTTAGTACTGCAATAATATTTAAACAAACTAAACATTGAGGTTTTTTTTGTTTGTTAATAATAAATAAA